ATTTATCCCGGCTGCATCTCCTGAGGCCTCCCCCTTCGGCCCCTCAGGTCTGCCTGAGGTGGGGTCATCTGGGCAGCGCTGGGCTCCTCGGGACGGGGCCTCCCACACTTCCTTCTGGTTTCCCAGCTTGTTGTGAATTTAAAAGTGCTCAGAAGGTTGCTGTGTGAATAGTTTATGCATTTTCACACCTACAGTTTAACAACGTAACCGAATTAAGGCCCTGATTCTGTACCGAAGGTGTTCAGATGGGCTTCAGCATCGCTGAAGTCAATAGCAGATGGAGAGTCGCTTGTTCTCCTTGACAGGATTTAATTGGAGGTCTGGATTTAAATATATTTTCCAATGAAAATAACATCTGCTGTTCTGAAAAAAACATTCATTGTCTTGGCTTTGGAAGTATTCTAGGTTTTCAGCTGATGTAAATGTACATTTGCATCGGCTTGCAATGGGGACGCTTAGTGAATTTCATCATGAGGTGAAATCGTACATACTGCTTTCTTGAACTTCTATGTCCAAATATTAAGGAACCTGTTAGATAAAGGGGAGAAAAGAATAAAAGGGTGCTAAACAGCTAAAACCGTGCTAAACAGCTAAAACCATGCAAAACAAGAAAGCTGTTTCAGTCAGCAAACTACCTGTGGCAAGAAAGGTAGCACTGAGATCTGACAATTGCATACATCTGGTTATGTCTGGAAGCAGTCTCCTTAGGGTGAGGAGCTGGATGTGCTGATGTACTCCTTGATGCTGTGGTAGAATCGGGTCACAGTTGCTTTTATATTCATGGGAAGAAGTCCAAGAGTGGCTTAAGGTGCTCACGTGGGAGGGACAGTGCCTGTTGGTGTCTGAATCTGGGTGGTTAGATGGGCAGTAGGATGAGGCCAGAGATGAGAAGGAAGGGCGCTATGGATGGCCTTCACCTGCTCGATGCAATTTGGAGCTGGCGTCCAGGTCTCTTACTTCCAGCAGACAAGGCCAAAATTAATTCAGGTTAACGGTGACGCTTTGGTATGCTGCAGCAGGTGTGTTTTCTTTTGCCAGAATGCACACTGGAAGCGCCTTCAGCTATAATAAAATACTGAGGAGAGGTTTCATTTTCCTTATTCCCCGTGAAGAGCCTGTCTTAATCCGCCAGCAGTCTTCGCTGGTGGGCTCGGCAGTTCTGGAAGTTTCTCTGCTGGTCGAGGGCAGCGCGTGCAGGAGCGCGGGCGTGCTCGGCCTGGGGCTCTTGGGGCTCTTGCAGCATTAGCTGGAACCTCGTGCAGGGGAGGATATCTGGCTCTGGCTGATGTGGTAAACTAGTACAAATGAATACCTTTTTTTTTTGCCTTTAAAACTACTTCATCGAGGATTTAGGAGTTGGCAAAAAGATTAAAAGAGCACGTAGCCCACAGACTGATGGATTTTGTTATGAGATTACTTCAAATTCTCAGGCCCGCGCGAAGCAGCCAGGCTCCTCTTTCCTCACACGTTTTCATTTTGAAGCTCAAGGTATTTCTGGTCGAGGCACGGCTCTTGCATGCACACGCCCGTGCACACATGGCCCTGCGTGGATTATGTAAGGTTCCTGATGCCGACCGCCAGGATTTGCAGGCGGCGTGTTGACAGGAAATTAGTTTGTACCCGTACGTGCCTTTAGCGAGCTATTTCCATGCGGTCGCGATGATGACATCGAGGCACGGAGGTCAGGTAGAGAGAGGGGGGCGAAGACGCCGCTCGGCTGGAAGTTGGTTTTGGCAGCGCCCGCCTGGGACTGGAGGGTTAATCATCATTTGTGGCTCTGACTGCCGCTTGCGTCAAAAGTCCAGGCAGCCTTAATGAACATTGCCTGTGTTAATTTGAAACCCTTGCTGGGAAATCATGGGAAAATGGAAAAATGCATACTTGCGTGGCACCCTTCAGATTAATGGCTTAGGCAGCGCGAGGGCTCTCGGCGCGCGGTGCTGCGCTGCTCCGGCTCTGAGCGGCTGGTAAAGAGATCTGGCTCGGTAAACATGTGCCTTCCCCTGATTTCACGGGGGATCCTCGTAAGCCAAAAGCTAATTTGCTCTAGACTCTGTGCTAAATATGGTGCATCGTATGACGGCTTAGTGAACTATGTAAATAAAAGCACTAAAATTGAAAACTTCTGGTCACAGATCAGACGTGGCTTCATTTGGTACTGCTGTTATTATTGGTATTTTTGGCCTGCGTGGTTTTGAAACCTTCTTACTCTTTTTAACAGCCCCTAGTAAAAGCCCCTAGTATTACCCTTGTAAAAGCCCTTAGTATTGTGCTGGTATCTCCCCTTAATTGTTTATTGGGTATTAGAATCAATGATTGCTTAACTGCAATTTTCTGATTATACCCTAATTGTGTGAAAGCTTTTTCAATGTATGTTCCCCTGTAACAGCAGGGGTTTTCTTTAGAGTAAATATTTTTTTTTCTTTTTAGTCCAATACTTGTAAGAGCAACGTTTATATTGGGGAAAGATGCAATATCCGTTCTAGCCACCTCTTTATAAACAAGCATTTCTCCTTTGTTTCCTTTAAAAAAAAAAAAAAAAAACAGTTTAGCATCCCCCTCCCCCCAGGCCTTCTAGCTTCAGATCATCTCATGTAATTTTAACATTTTGGTCCCAGACTTAATACTTTTTTCCCTTTGCTTAGCTTTTTCTTGTGTGTGATCCGTGGGGTATAAAGTTGAGTGAATGTGAAACTTGTGCAGGATGGGAGGCCTGAATCCCTCCTGAGACTAGCTTATGTTACAAAGTTGATTTTAATTTCCTTTAAGTTCTGTGTCCTTCGAAAAGCATTTACTATCCTTGCACAACACCTGAAGTGTTTTATCACATGCAGCCCCCTGCAAGTCAATGGGGCTGTGACCCGGGGGTATGTTAGAAATGCTCTGATCCCACTCGGGAGCTCCTAACCTGGCTACAGCAAACCAGAAAGCTGACAACGAGCTAACCCAAGTCCCTTCTCTAATATTTCTTAGCAACCTAAATATTCTGTTAGCCAACATTTATTATAGCCCCTCAAAGATATTTTCCAGGCTAGGTCTGATAAGTTAACTGTTTTGCTCTGGAAAATTACAGAACCAGTTGTAGAACGGGAAAGTTGGAGAGATTGCTAAGAGAAAATCTATTGCTTTGCCTCCGAGGTGTTTGGGAAGCTGCAGCAGCTCCGCAGCTAAGTGGGTGCCTCTGGTGCCACATCCACCGGGAAAGCTCTGAGCACTCCTATTTCAGAATAAATATTGCTTTTCAGAAATCAAGAGACTTATTTTGTTAAATTGTACTGGAAAAAGGCTGTTTGAGGGTGGAAAAAGTGAAGTTACCTAGCGCGCAGAGAGGGAAGCGGTGCCAGCAGCCCCTTCCCAGAGGCAAAGGGATAAGCGTGGCTGTGGGCTTTTTCCCCCAAATGGCACAGGTGTGTGTGGAGGCAGCTGGTGTCTGAGCTGTGCCAGGAGCCCTACCCATGGCTGCCGACAGTGGTGGGCAAAAGCCAGGCTCACGGGGGCTTCACTTCCAGCACCTGGGTGCCAGAAGGAGCTTTGGGGATGCTGGCCCACAGCCTGGCACCACAGGAGGCACACATCCTGCCCCTTCCGAGCACGGTCCTGGTGGTGGGGCAGCTTTTCTTGCTTTGTTTCACTCATTTCCTCTTTTTTTTTTTTTTGTTTTTTTTTTGTCCTTCCCTCCTCCACCACCTCTCTGACTAGGGGAGAACTGACACGTGTTTGCATTATTCCTATAGCTAACGCAGGCTGTAATACACTAATTCCGTAAATACATACTGAAACACGCAGTTTCATCTGTATGTACCTAGAGCTTGGTGCTGAAAGGAACACCCATACATCGTGGGTGTAGTGCATCTGAGCATATACAGTTACCCGTGTGCAGTCCCAGTGTCTCCTAGGCATAGCACCTTTTCAAAAGTAAAGCATGACATGACGTGCAGTCACCTATTTTATAATATTTCAGAAATAAAGCCTCTTTATGGAGAATGAGGAAGATGTGATAGTGTAAAGAATGCAGCTGTTGATAAGATTTATTACTTATTGCAACATAGGTCCTTGGTCTCTTGGTGTGATTTATGCAATGTCTTCTGCATCCTTCATTATTCATGTGAATATATGTACGCACGTGTATGCACACAAATACATGATAAATTTATAGGAAGAATGTGGTACATCACTTAATCATTTTAAGATGTTAAAAGATTTAATGAAAGTGTTATATATACATATATATTTATATATTTCTGTATTGTGTTTTGCTACATATATTTAAGCAATTCAAGCAATTCGCTGTGAACATTGACATTACCAGAGTTAATTCCAGACTAAAATAAATAAATAAAGCTTAAAATAGTTTATGCCTGGCCTGTTTAGGTTTTTCACATATTGGCAATTTCAAAACTGGAACTTTCTGTTTCTCAGTCTTTTTTTTTGTGGTGTCTGGAAAATCAACTGACCTAAAGGACTGACAATGCTTTTATGAAAGAGTTGGTCAACACTCAATTTTTACTCGTTTGATGGGGAGAATACAAAAACGTAGAGCAACTCTGCAAAATACATAACTACCGAATTTTTATACTTCATGGATTGGTGTAAGCACTGACTTGGATGGTGCTGAAAACTGAAGTTTGTTTGACTAGTAAAAAATCTGCATGGATTCAGTTGTTATAAAAATGTTTATTCCAGATATCCACATTGTGTTAAATCTCCACAGCCTATACAGCAGGGTAGAAAGCAACAAATCTCAGTTGCTTTTGAAAGATGGCTTGCTATTGACTAACTCTCTATTTTGCGTTTTCTCACTTCATATGACTGGTTATTTTACCTTCATCTATTGAAGGTGAAAATAAACATTATAATTGCAATAAAGAGAAACTAAGTTTCTGTTGAAACACTTTTGCAAATTGAAAAGCAAAATGTATTCTTCCTTTTCTCCAAATTTCTGGGAAGGGTAAGCTAATGCTAATACTGATTTTTTTTTTATTATTATTTTTTTCAATCAGCTCTTCAGGTGCTGGAAATGTAGCAGACCGTGTCTTGGCTCAGTTGTTAACGGAAATGGATGGGATAGAGCAGCTGAAGGACGTGACAATTTTGGCAGCTACAAACAGACCGGACATGATAGACAAGGTACAAATAGATGCAGGGTGGTATATACTGTTCTCTTGAGAAGACCAGTTTATGGAATAATTCATTTCTCTTTGTTTACTCTCCAAACTGTTGTCTAATAAATTAATGATTAAGAGTAGATGTTGGGAAATGGTGACAAGGCAAAGGAAAGGTTTACGTCCCTGCCTTTTTTTTTCCCTCTTACAAAATTTCAACAGAAACAAAATGTTCTGTGATATCCCTAAGTATCCATTTCCTAGAAGAAATTATTCCTAAATCAAGCTCATTGAACTTGTGCAACAACATTTCTGTCAAACTGCTTTTGTGGGTTTTGCTTCTGTTGTGTTTGTTTATGCAAGGGTTTGCTGGACTGTCGGTTTCATTAGTTACTTCCTTTCAAAAGATTAAGTATCTCCTTGGTGCCACTCGCCTGCTGCCAGCAGTAGGGGTTCCAACTGCAGACAGCGCACTTTCTCCTTAGGTCTCACAGCAGCCCTGCTGGAGCGACAGGTTTGTAAAAACAAAGGGGTTGTAACAAAGCAGAAGGCCTCCAAACACAAAACTAACCCAGCAGCCCTCTAGAAAATCCACTTTAAAACAGTCTGTCACTGCTGGGTCTTCTCACAGCTAAGTGCAGCAGACGGACTGGGCTGGAGTGATTTCCTTTAAGATATGTTTTGTAGTGTTGGTGAGATTCTTGATTCTACAGCTTTTCACCTTCACAACATTCACAATTTGATGACAAGCTAATGAGATTTATTTTTCCTGATCTTTAATAGTGTTTCTTAAAAGTTTTATAAATATTTTCCATGTTCCATTTTAAGATATTTCTGTAATAGCATTTTTTTCTGCTGGTCTTGAAGCATTCAGGCATAAAATAGGTACAAGTGCATGCTTTTAAAGTAAGGTTCATTTACACATGAAGTCTTGAGGAAAAATAAAATTGTGTTTTGGCTGCTGAACGCAGCTTCTTTCCTTTTGAACTGAAGGAAGCCACTCAGCTGACAGTGTCCTGATAAAGGTTCACTTCTGTTAGAATTTTCTAGGTGTATGTCAACTGTATTTCCATCACTGATGCAAACTCAGATCTCTTAAAGATGTGATTGAAAGTTTTGATTTTCATCTGATGGTAAAAACTTGACTTCTGTGCATCTGAATTTGGTGGGGTTGATGAGGGGAGCTGTTGCTTCTGAAAAGACCTGTTGATATATCCACTTTTCTAGGAATACTTTGTTTTAACTAAAAGCCAGGAGATGGAGAGGGATGGCGTATCACAGAATAGGTGGCCCAGTCAGGGGAGAGATGGGCTTACACAGAGATGAGCTGGGTCCTGCAGCATCACTGAACCGAGGCACCAGCGATACTTGCAGCCAGAAAGGATGAACAGATAGCACGTTGTGGAAACCACTCTGTCAACTCCACCTGCTTTACTTTCATGTGTTTATCAGCAACATCTGAAAGCTCTGTGGGTAACGAGCTGTGGTAGCCACCACAGGGAGGATTTTTAGACACTGTGAAGGCTGAGAGGAAGAATATTATACATATGTGTCCCTGCAGAGTGTTAAGGAACTCCCATGGTACAGGGTTGGAAGAAAAGAAATGTAGAACAAGCAGCACACTTGTGTTCATATGGCAGTGTTAGGCTGGTAGATACTAAACCCAATAAAGCTGTTTGTCCTGACCCTAAATGTAAAGAAAAGGTCTATGCTGTGTGAGACAGTGCCCCTCAGAGTAGCAAGTTGTGTGATTATAGAAATTGTATTAGTGAGAAACCATAAATGGGTATTTAAGATATTTTTTATACTATTTTTGCTAAGGCATAAAGGAAAAAAAAGTTCTGATAGTTTTGTAGAAAGAGTTCACTTATAGAATAACAGAGCAAACTTTCACCAATCTGGAAAAGGGGCTTACACTAATGTTTAAAGGGAGTGGAGAATCACATTCGTGTTGGTATAATGCTCATCATGCTTCATCCAGGCCACACAGGCTACACCAGTGCAATAGTTGCACATTTTCTTCCCCAGGGGAAAAAAAAAAAAAAAAAAGACTGACACCAGAAAGTGTGTGTATTATGAACTTCACTTAGTGGACAGTTTTCAGTCTGGGTTTATAGTGATGCCCATGAGTCTGTCAAATTTTATTAAATCAATTAATATTTTATATGGAATATTAGTTCAACAATGTAGTACAATAACTAAGTGTCCTCTTTGCATAGCTGTATCGTGACTGTACTGTAATTTTTAATGCATGAACTTTACATGTTGTATGCAGGCACAAGGCAATCTTTACTTCCAGGTACTGAGAACATGTTGGGTATATTTTTTTGTGACTATGTTTTAGATTTTCAAACCAAGAAATGTTTGAGGAGTGCGTGCTTTGTGAGTTTTAAATACTTGCAGAATTGGTAATAATTGATTCAATCTTCATTTATGTCTGCTTCTTAATGGATAAATATGTGATGATTAATCTTCTGCACTTTTGAGAAAAACACATGGGAATATCACATATAAGGGTATTCCCCTGAGCCTAGTGCAGACTTCGTCATCCCTGCAAACACTACACTGTGTTGCTTTTGCATGGTGAGTAGTTTTGAGTCAGCCTTTATAGAGTTATGTTTAATTTTAAACTTGTTTTGACTTGTTACAAATGTCTATTAATAAGAAAATTTCTCTGAGATGTCATGATTTAATTGAAATATTATTTCAACCTCAAGTTGTGTCCTGTGTTTGTAGCACTTAGCTACTTTGCATCCCATTCATGTGATGCTGAAAATACTTGGGGATAGTTTCCTTTATTTTTGTAAGAAAACAAAACCAGCACATACCGTTTTCATCCTGTGTATGATGCAGGAAGAGCAGCTTCTACTAGAAGGGAGATATTCTGGAACAAGATGTTCTGAACATTCTTTGAAAGTGATACAGAAACAAAACACTCTGAGTCAGTAATAATAGTAAAACTTCCCTTTTATTCTTGATTTATTTATTTATTTTACTCTAGACGTAGAATTGATGAGCAATAGTAGGAAAAATATTTTTATTTTTGGTGACTTCTACATTCAAGAGTGATTTTTCATGCCTAAAAAAAATTTGCAGTAGTTTTATGGAGCTGCTTGTGATTCAGAGCTTTTCTGTATTCAGATATCAGTTGGCCTAAGAAGAGATTTCACTTGTGGCTACAAACTTCACATAAAATATTTTGAGCACCATGTCTATTTTGATTAGCTTGAATTAAACGTTTTATGCAGACATACATGGATGAACTTTCTGGTGTAGTCCAAGAGATTTCCATGGAAGAAGACCTACGCCAGTTCAACAGGATCGGGTGGCCTTTTTTTCTCTTGCAATGGTTTTGCAAGACTTTTAACACTGGGCTTAATTCTTGGATGAGAAGGGTGAATTGCTATCATTATCTGCCCATGCAGATACCTTTCTCCTCTTCAGCAGCAGCGTATGTAATGAAGGAAGGGAGGCTGTCAGATCCTCGGGGACCTTGGTGAATGTTTCAGCACAGGAAGCAAGATGCGTGCTGCTGCAGCATCAGATAGTTTTACCTCCTGCTGGGTCAAATTTGAATGTCAAACACATTAGCTGAGATGTAAAACACGAGGCGCTGAGTGAAGTGATGGCCTGTGGTATAGGATGACATCCTGGTGCTCCTGACAGCCCCACTTCTCCTCATGGGGTGCAGAAAAGATGTATCCTCAAATATGCTATTTGCATAAGAATGACAGGATGTGATAGGACAAATGAAGATTAACGAGATGCTGTGCTGTCAGTGTTGCCCATTGTCTCTAGATTGATGATGGTCTGGATTTCATCGGTGTTCGTGGGCTCAAATCAGAAACTGTACTGGTAGAGTGAATACTGAAGAACTGGGTCTTTAAAAATGCTGGTTTAGTGCAGGGGAGCTTGGCTTCTCATCTTGAAGTATCTTAAGTGCTAGTATAAGAGCATGTGCTCTGTGGTTTGTGCCAGCACAGAGGATTTTTGCTGCCTCCTTTTGCACATTTATTTTGCTTTCAAAACCTTTATACTCCCCAGCCTTTCTCCTCACTTTCTTTCTCTACCTTCACCCCCAAGGCTTGGTCCATGCTGTTCTGCAGAGAAGCACCAGAGAAGAAGCTCTGTTGGCTTCAATGTATTAGTCACTGGGGGTGAATTCAGCTTATTTAGTTTAAGAATTGTGTAGATACTGAGTTGTCTGTTCTGCTTATGTGAACAAAATAAAACTGCAGCCTGTATTCTTCCTAGCAACTGCCAAGTATGGGGAAAGAGAATAAAAGTCTCTTCCCCTGTGGTTCATTTGGGTTTTGGACAAGTTCTTTTGGTCAGAAAAGTCAAACAGAGGTTCAACAAGTTGATCTGACCCTTAAAACGTTGATTACTGTATAGCTTTGGGACAACCTTAACTTAAAGTGGCTTGTTCTGATGAAAATTAAAAAAAAAAAAAAAAAAAAAAAAAAAAGCATGATAGAGCCATTTGGCAGAATCAGTAAAGAAATTATAATTTCTTGCCTGCAGCAAAAGTAAATAATCTTTCCTCTTTAAAAACATCAAAGTTCTGTCTTTCTGAAGGCTTATGGAAGAAATTCAAATATTTAGGTTTGCCGTTTTACAAGTTAAAAGAAATAGGAAAGAATCTTGCATATTTATTCCTTATTGTCTGGAAACGTGTGTGTGCTGTTATAAAGCAGGTGACACTGCAAGCATGCTTAGCAAGTCAGATGCAGTGGCAGTAACCCAGCTCACTGCCATGCTCTATGTTCTTCTGTTTACATGCTTACCTATCTGTGATACCTGTTTTGGTCAGATATTTTTTACGAGAGGGCCTTCCTATGTTACAGCCTGACTTGGTAGGATTTCGGTCTTCCCAAATACGGTGTGGGCCTGTGGAGTTAGGAGCCATGTTACCCACCAGCTGTGTGCTGTGTTCCCCCTCTGTAACCCCCTGCCCCCAAGTTTGATCCAAGATCATAGCTCCAGGTTGGAAGGAGCCCTGGAGGTCTTATGGTCCAACCTCCTGCCTGAGCAGGGCCAACTTCAATGTTGCTCAGGACTCGTCCAGAAGACCTTTGAGTTTCTCCAGGGATGGAGATTTCACAGCCTCTCTGGGCACCTGCTCCATGTTTGACCATCCTCACCATGAAGAGTGTGTTTCTTTCTTTTCCTTCTATCTAGCAGTCTAGCTTGCTGCAACCTGTGCCTGTCGCCCTAGTGTGTATCTCTGAGAAGAGGCTGGTGCCATCAGCTCTACAAACCATCCTACCTCTCCCTGCTGCTTTAGGTACTTCAGCACAGGTAGAATTGTACACAGACTTGTGAAGGGGAACTGCTAAATGGCATTAGGACTCTAGAGAGGGAAACGTAAGTATTTCTACCTATTCATTGTGCTCTGCATTGGGTTTGGTTTGAGGAGAAGCAGTCAGGTGAGCTGAGTCCCAGCTAGGGAGCTAGGATATGCCTCTGGCTGCCACTTCTCAGTATTGCCTCTATGCCGATTTCATCCAGGTTTGGAAGACCAGTGGCACAAGAGTTGGGTGCCTTTTAGAAGGAGACAGTGTTGGGATACTTAAGGCTTGGCAAAATATTTCGTGATAGTTGGATAAACTAGTACCAAGTAAACATGAGTTAGAGTGAAGCCTTGTTATTTATTTGGTACTGCTAAGTTACTAGAGTTGAAGTCCATTCTGGGGACCACTGGGGATAACTAACAAGTGATTTTTTAAACTACATTCCTTGCCTGATATCATATTACTGAAATCAGTCTTCATTTGTATATGGGCTTTGTAGTCATCACTAGAATAGAACAGGTGGGAATGTATTTCAGAATAGCAATCAAAGCATGTAAATGCAATCACCATGCCTCTCCATACTGCTGAACCATTATTTTTTCCTTTTTTTTTTAAATATATATATACATTTTTACTTTAAACAGTGAAATGCCTCTCTGCTCGTCAAAGGGCACTCCTCATATTATTCTAAAGCCCTGGGATTAAAAATAGAGAAGAGAGATTTTGTGTCTTGTGACTTTTTAGTCAGCCAGCACCTAGAGTGCTTACATCATTTTGCCCAGGTGCAAGCATGGTTCTTTGAAATAACAGAAGATGTGGGATTTCTTTTGAAGACAAGATTGTTCTGGAGCATATAATAAATTTTCAGAAAATGAAGCTTTAGGGAAAAATGATATCGAACTACATGCCATTGAAAAAAGGATCTGATATTCTGAAATCATTTCACAATCTTGGCACCATCACATTTTCCTTCAATTGCTTTTCTCTGGTATGTGTTTGGGTTTTACCCTTAATGCAGTTAAACTTGCAATTCTGACCAGGGCCAAGAGGTGCTCTGGAAAGTAGCTGTTTCTCAGAGTCTAATCTTACCGTTATTAATGTAAGTTGTTTACATCTTAGGGTGATTAAGAGCTTTATAAGTTTGTTTAAAAGAAGAAAGGCAAAAGAGTAAGTGAAATGATTTTAAAATTGTCACAAATTCTTTTCACCTGCCAAACTGAAAAGTCTAAATAGATACAGATGATGAGCACTGCTGTTTACTGGCCAAGACCTCCGAGTTGTTGATTTGAGGCTGGATTGCAGAGTGACCCGAGAATCCCTGAAGAGCTTACCACCCTGTTTGAATGCCGAGGCAGTTTCTGTGTTCGTGGGCATATTTATGAAGTTTCTCTTTAAGTCAAGAACTGGGTTTTAAGATTCACCTGAAGCTCTCTCCTCCCCACCCCCCTCGCTGATGAAAACTTTGTTTTCTCACCAGTACAGCAAATAAAATATTTCCAGGTGTGCAAAAGTGATTTTTGTTTCCAGCATCGATTGTCAGAGTGTGGAGGACTGAGTAGTAAATCAGCCTTAAGGCTGCTCTGGTTTTAAAAAACAGAATCTTAGTGGTGACAGCTGAAGAGCACTGTGACTTTTTCACTCAAGATTTATTACTTGCCTGAAAAGAAGGGTTGGAGGGAAAACTTGCTGGGCTGCATATTTTCTCCTTTAACAGATATAGTATAGGGCCAGGATAAATTGGCTTTATTTTGTCTGTGAAAACATACAACCAAACAGTGTATGTAAAAATATAATAGTTTTACTTCAAATAGAACAGAAAAGTAAATATGCCTGCTCTTATTCTTTATAACGGAAAGCATTCCTTACATTGACTCAGTCGTGTATTTTAGCATCACTAATAACTTTCATAGACTTCTCTGCAACACGTGCCAGAAAACTGATTTGAAGGTATCAAGGCGTATTTATTTCATTTGGAAAAGTAAAAAAAATAAAAAATAAAAAAGGGGAAGGTAAGGGCCATGGGCCAAAGTTTGTTCTTTCTCGTACCTCCCAGCCTCACGAAGTCCAGATGAGGAGCACAACAGGTCAGAAAGCCTCCAAATTATTAACAAAGCAGGAAATCTGAAAGGCTCTCAGATTGGTATGTGTGTGAATACCATCCTCAGTTCAATGAGTCCGTAATGGTGATACCAGGTTGTTACGTGGTTTTGTGTTTCTTTCTTTCAATTCTGTCATGAAAATGATGCTAAGGGAACATGAGAACATATGTTTTGGGGTTAACATGAATCGTACCTCTAAAAATGAAGTGGATTTGAGCAGTACCTATAAACAGGGTATAAAATCCTAAACATTGGGTTAGGTCATCTGTATTCTTCATGTGTGTTTAGTGCGAAACAAAGCACCTTTATCTGGAGAAGCAATACCAATTTTATGGTGGTTTCATGTACCTGTACAGTGATCTTTAACCCCTAAAACTTGTGCAACTGCTTGTAAAGGCACAAGTTTTAGCTTCCTATCTGAATTACTTGAGAACAGCCCATGGGATGCTAACGTCTTCCTGCTAAATCCTTCCAATTTGCTCATGTCAAGTGTTGGGGTCGCATGGAGGAGGGTGCAGCTGGGGTGCTGGGCTTGGCTTTGTTCCTGAAGGAGCATCCTCAGGAGCTGTCGAGGCCTTGGTGGGGATCAGTGCCCCGTGGCAGATGAGCAAAGTGCAGCGAGGCGTATTTCACAGTCAATGTGTTGGACAGCGTGAGTCTTTTTATATTTATTAAGCTTCATTAAGGTAGCGATAACAGTTAAGGAAAAGATGTTCCAAGAGGACTTGCTTTTTAAATATTTGTGGAATGACTCTGGAAAGGATGTTAGTGTGGTCCTTTCAGCTACAGAGCTAGAGCAATGGCCGCAATTAGGGTACTTGGGCTGTGGCCACAGACCCATTTAGGGCTTGGTTTGCACTTGGTCTTCTGCCCAGCCTTCCTTGTTGTGGATGAAGTGTGCAGTACACGTATAGTTTTTTGTGTATGCTATATTAAAATTGCATTACAGAGCACATTGTGCTTGTTGAGCACTCGTGAATTCAGAACTGCCATAGGTGAGGTTGCGTGTACAACCTCCGTTCATTCTTCGTTGTGCATGTGCATCATCATGCCATCTTTAATTACCTTAATTAAAGCGTTATTCATTGTGCATGATTAATTAAATTGCATTAATTTAGAAAATTATTTTTACAAGTCATTATGATGGCCTCTACTTTAATTGCCCTACTACTTACATTTCCTTACTTTTAAGAGCTTTGATTTACACTGTTTCAAATCAGGTGAACAATTACTAGTTTCTGGAGTGAGCATCCAGAGCCCCTGGTGTAATATCCTATTGGTATCTTCATGGTTATCAGCAGTACAGGACCCTCTAGATCTGCCACAGAAAACTTGTTTGCTTGAAATAATTGGTAAATTAACAACTGTATTCAACTCCTTTGCTGTTCTTTGTGGTGCCTACTAGGCAAGAATGGGACTTTCACCTGTTACCCAAGATATTTTCTGAGAATATAGGAATAGGTAGATAAACGACTTTTTCAGTAGTAATGTTTCTTCTAATATCCCATATCCATAACTATTCCCTCATATTATTTCCTTGTGTCATCTCCGTATTCAGTTTGCCTTCTCTCTCTTTATCCAGTATCATCTTGGTTTGTTTTTCCTTTATCTCCTGACCTCTTGACCTTCAGCAAACCATCATCTATCCTCAGTATGATCCTTGCTCCTAATTTTTTTGCTCCATTGATATCAACTTTTTTGCTTGTTCTTGAATGTGTTTTGTTTTTCACAGTCTTTCTCCCCAAAACTGTAGCTCTTCTCAGTCATCTGAATAATCTCCCCAGGTTTTATCTCATCTTTATCTGCCTGCCCTGCCAGGATTCTCTGTGTCTTTTTCCTTTTGGGTTCCCATAATTAGTCCTTTCTTAATGAGCCTTGGTTTTGCCCCAGTGTTCGAACTCTTGGTTTCAGTGTTTTCATTCCTCATATGTCTCTTGTTCCTTCCGGTGTCGGCTCTGGTATCCTCTTTCTCCTCCTCCTGCTTGACTAGATTCAGGCAACTCCAATGAGAGGAGAGGTCATTTTCCTGCTGTAATTTTGGGAGCCTGGATGCAACACAGCCTGCAGACTCCTTG